CTCGACTCCTTTGCGTCGTGCAACGCGCTGCTTCGAAGCATCCCAGCTCTGCGTCGTCGTTGGCGAGCCATGCTACCGGCCCTTGCTGCGAAGAGCTCGATTTCCATGTATAGCCCCTCATCGTAGCGCAGGGACTTCAGATACCTCGCATCACCCAAAGATTGCGCCAGCTGCACCGGCCAGGGTGATCTTTCGTAGGCCAGTCTGGTCACCGCGCGCACTCCCATCTTGAACAGTGAGTGTAGTCGTTATCGATTGGTTCAGCCTGTCACTCACAGCTTGTTGCAGCCACGGGCTCCTTCAATGCATTATCGCACACCCACGCTTAAACCCTAGCCTTGCTCGCTACGTAATGACACAATCCCGGTCGTCCTTCCTGACTTGCTGTCCCGGGGTGCACATCCCTCGGGTGCGACGCTCTCCCTCCAATGCAACGATGTACGCCTCCCGAGCGCGAACCTTTCTTGTTTTCAGAGTGTCCCATCTGGCTGTCCAGGGCTAGATGAGAAAGCCAGTTCGGAACGGCGGCGGCACTAGGAGCGCACTGTCATCGTACTGTTCTACGGCTCAGAGTCTAGGCAGGCAGCCGACGCTGTCGCGTCCGCAAAGAGAGAGAGCGACACAGACACGCCGACGCGCGCGGCACTGGGGTATAACGGTCCTATGACAGCTTCGCGGGCTTTAGACCTCAGCTCTCCGACCTCTTGCAGCCGAAGAAGCGCATATCAAGCGTCACTATTACCGAAAAGCGAGAGGAAGTGAGTGTGCAAGAGCGGCGTCGAGCTGGTCAACGCCGGGATCGCGCCTGGTTCGCTTCGGACGTAGAACGAGCCGAGCCAACACCTGCGCTTCGAGGCTCTCAGCCCCCGCTGGGTTCTTCGCACCCTTGCCCGCAGCCAGGAGGAACGCGACGACTGGGCGACCGCGATTCGCAATGCCAGAACGTCGCCGCTAAAATCACTCAAGGTCGTGCGCCCGAAGCCGACGCCGGCCCCGCATTTCTCGATGAGCCACTTCCAACATGCGCGTCAAGGTCTGCAGTACGCGTAGCGTGGGCGGACACTTGGTTGGCATTCAGTGGTGGCACTTTTGCAAGCTTCGAGGGCGGTGTACCTGCCACCGTCACCCTACCGAAGTAAGCCACATCTCCGCTGTTGGTTATCAGCGCTGACAATTACCTCTAGATATTCTTTGGGTACTAGACGGCACGAACTTGGTGTAGGACCACGGGTTTGCTGCGCCGCTCGAACCTCCGGCCACGACGGTGACGTTCTCGGATCTCATCTCTATCACCCTTTAGTTCGTAGCCTTCGAACATCTCAACAAGAGCATTCAGGCCTAGGCACCTCCGTCGTTTCTGATCGCTAGCGACGAGACGAGACGACAGCGGTCCAGAGCTACTGCCTATTCGCCCCCAACGCCACCCATGGCCACCCGCGAACTAACCGACAGCCTAGACGTGCTGAGCGCGGCCGAGGATCTCGCGATGTCGAGCAGCCTGCTGCCGACGTCGATTCTTGCCGCGGTCGTCGCAGTACGGTGATGGAAATGGCTTCTGCTCCCCACGACCGCGGCCTACGCGATGCCGGTGAGGACCGAGACGGGCGTCGTTCAGTCGGCCAGAGTGGAAGTGTCCGCGGTAATCATTGGCAGCTGGATAGAGAGCGTACCATTCAAACTGGGAAGTCGAGGATAGCGCATGGTTGATTCGTAGTCGTGTTTTCTGTAACTTACTGGTGGAATTAGGGCAAACAAAGTTAGAGGACAAGGGATCTACATGTATTATATTATATGTGCACATTTCACAGGTCTTGGATCTGATTATCTGAAGCTCAAGAGATGGCTAAAGGGCGCTTGCGGATCGCTAATACGCGCTCATGCGTCTGGACCCGGAGAACCCCATACCGTTTCGTCTGTGTGCTAAGCTATGGTTTCTGTAATTCGGACGCCAGCGGGGATGAAAAGCCGAAGCAAAATCTTTCAAAGTGATTGCGTTCGTGCAAGTTATTCATTAGACCACGAAATATTGATATGACAGCCCCAGTGGCATTGTATTATTACCGGCAGCCCATAGCGGCGGTACCATGAGGAAGCACCTCAAAAATTCTATGTGAGGCAAGACAGCAACCGTCTGAACTGAGCTATCCTCACCATGAGCGCGCTTTGTCTAGTAGCCTGCCGCCCTGTCATGCGTGATACTTAAGTATTCGGTGTCACACTCGGGAGCTGTACAACGATGTCAGCCTACATACAAGGTACAAACGAGGCCAGACCTACGCCGTCGTTAATGACGACCTCGTCTGCTCTCTGTAGAGCAGACTTTGCCTCAGGCGTGAGCATGAGGTTGCTCCTCGTTGCAACAAACCCATAGGCGTGCACCTCGCCGAGCGCGACCGTGAGGTGTCTGACCCATTGACGGCCGCCGGTCGACATCGTATAGGCATGAGCCCGAGTCCCTTGCCCACGCCGCCTTATTTTCCTCGCGCTACGGCGGCACCTGCCTATCCGACAAGTCTGGTGAGGAGCCGAATGCATTGGAGATCATGCCTCAGGTGCGCAGGATCGGGGAGTGCCCGAAGGAATTGCTTCGCCCAGTGTGCCGCATGAGCGAGCCGTCGTGGTACGCATACGGGTCAGCGCAGCTCGGAGATTACAATGAGGTTGTGCATGGTGCGATCAGTGCCGTCGGGGAGAAGAGGTGCAGGCTCGCCTTGGAGGCGAGCTGACCTGGTCAAAGAGCAGATTTTTGGCTGCGAGAGTGTTGATCGGTGCAGGGGGAAAGCTTCACGAGACGTGTCGAACATACTGGCAGCGCATCAGTGGCCGTACGGCGCGCTATCCGCCGGTAACACCCACATGTTCCGGGAGATGAGTCAAAGATCGTGTTCGACCTCGAGACGAAGGTCTTTTATGCTCACGATGTAGCCAAGTCGACGGCCGTCACGTCTCCAGAGTCAAATGTGCACTTGATGCAGGGACGTCTTGACATTGTCCGGCATCGCTTTCCATGAGCTGCACCTTCCGCTGGGATTTATGTGCGGTGAGTTCGTCCCTAAACGAGATCTCGATCGCCTTCAAGGTCGGCTTGCGACGGGTCTTCAGCTGTCCGGATAGACATTCAACTTTCTTCGTACTAGGCCCTTCAGGTACACCTGTCAAATAGAGATCAGCAAAAGACACAGTGCGAAATTGCGCTCCGCTTACATTGACGTCTATATCATCTGTTGAACCAGCAAAAATGGAACGAGACCAGTCTCGATATCGACAAGCGGGGATCGGGCCGCTCGCTGTGCTTCAACAACCTACAGAGAGCTCTCTTGATCACATTGGCACAATAAAGGCACGGAGAGCTGCACCTCGTTTGCATTACGGTACGGCGAGTGGGAGCGAACATACAGACTCTTTGAGTGACCAAGGCTCTCGCTCTGCGGCTTGCACAGAACGCGCCGCCAGCCCAGGAGGTCCATCTCAGGGAAGTATGAGCTTACGCCGAAAATAGTGCGTCACCTGATCTGTCCACCATAGCACCAAAGCAAGTGCCTGCCCCAGTTAGATGCGCTCCGGCTTGCCTGGAACGACGGCCCCGACTTGAGCACGCAGTATGCGTTCGACTTTGGAGCTCCCTGACGGCGTCCCATGACTGTCGTCCCACGTCAGGACGTGTCAGCTGAGAGGCCCCATGTTTCCGCCCGGACACAACGGAGGCAGGGAAGTCGCGGCCAAGGTTCAATATGCCAAATTCAGGTGGACGAGCTTCCGCGCCTGTTACGCTCTGCGCGCTTCGCGCACGTGGCAGCGCCTGGGGTTACCCAAGGCAAGGTCC